GAGCCAATGGAGTTTGGTAACTGAGTGGCTCTTGAGGGTTCCAGCTTCACCGAATAGATCTCTCCCTTGGCAGAGTAATGGCTCAGTCAGCTCACCGGGCAGTGGGGTCCGACTGGATGAGGCGGACACTGGTTGTCTTTGAAGGAACATCTGGACCCTCCAGCTACAGCATGTCTTGAGACCCCTCTCCAGCCCTTCTGTGTTGTGCTTCCTGGCTGCCCTGAGGTAACAGCTTTCCCCTATGAAGGAATCCAGCTGCCGCCATCTTGACCAGAGCTGCCTCTAAACCTGGGGACCAAATACCACCAGCCCTGCTATTGACAGCAGCTGGGCAACCGTTATGGCTGGGGCTCTCTCCAGTCTTGCGTTTGGCAGGAAGCTGCAACCCCGTCTCAGTGAACTGCCCCCTCCCCATGACCCTTCTCAGAGCCCACAGCCTGTGGGAGCAGCTGGTCTGGTCTCCAGGGCCGGAGCCATCCCTCTCGGGTTTGTTCTGCGGTAAACCTGTCCTGTGAGCTCGTACCTCTGTTTCTTTTCCTTTTTCCTGACATTCTCCCATGCCTCCCACTTTTTGGTACGGGGGAACGAACTTGGTACCTTGCACTTTGGAGGCAGGCAGCATAGTCCCTGAACTAAATCATGGCCCAAGCCCCTCCCCTCCTTTAAAAAAGCAAAACATTTATTGATACATTATACATTCATCATAGGGAATCTGTAGTACCTGTACATGATATTTCTTGCTTCTTTTTTTTTTTCTTTTTTCCTCCCATGCCTTTCTGCCGCAATGTTTCAGCCGATCTTGGACTGAAACATCTGAAACCATGAGCTAAAATAAATCTTCCCTCTTCTCTAATCAGATGGGTAACTGTATATGTACTTACAGGCTATCATTTCTGTTTCTCTAGAGTCCCCTAACCAATACGCTACCTGTACCTTCTCGGTTTTGTGCGTCTGAGGAAGCCTTAAAGTCTTACTTTACACCAGGTACGGAAAGGCGAGGCTGGCCGCGCAGCTCCGAGCCTCGGGCCTTACAGCGGGAGTCGCACCCCGGAGACCTGGGCCTTGGCCCTCCAAGCCCCGTCCAGTTTTCAGCGCGAAAGGGAATCGCCGTGAAGCGCTCGCACTTCCTGTCCGGAGACAGCAGGTCCCAGGCTGTCATCTTCTGGCGGTCCCCGGAGCCCCTAGGAACTTTTCCTTTGCGTCGCCATGGCTCCCAAAATGCTGGTTTTTGACGGTGCTGTAAAAACTGCAGTTCCAAGCCTCCCACTTCTTTAAAAATTACTCATTTCCTGGGGATCTCCCTTTCTGTATATGAAATACACATGTCTACACACTTGTCACTTGTTATTCTTTGATTACAAGAGTCTCAGCTGAAAACCCAGAATGGTAGAGATAAAATTATTCTGGACGGGATATAATTTATTTAAAAACAATGATCATTTGAAAGATTGAAAAAAAAAAAATTATTCTTCTCTGCAGGTGCTGGGAGTGAGGCGGGCAAAGGACCGGAAAAGGAGGAGACATTCCAATCGGCACTGGAACAACAAATCCCGGAAGCCCGCGGCGGAAGTAGGCGGTAGGAAGTGGGCGGGTCTTGGTACGCACCGAAGCCCGAGATGCGCATGCGTACGGCTGGCTATGGGCGGGGCGAGGGAACCGCTGGGCAGGCCGCGAGTGGGCGTGGCCGGGGTGAAGCGGTGGGCGTGCCGGAAGTGGGCATGCC